GGACTCCTTTAATGTCACTCTTTCTGAAAGAACAATCCTGTTGGGGGTTAAGGCTTCAAGAGATGAATGTGGTGGGAGGGGACCCAATTCTGTCTAGAACATCCAGGTTCCTGGGGTCCCCACCTTCCATCCATCCTTGTATTTATTATTTTATTGTATGTATTTTTAATGATTTCAGAGAGGAAGGGAGAGGGAGAGAGTGATAGAAACATCAATAATGACAGAGAATCATTGATCAGCTGCCTCCTGCACACCCCCTACTGGGGATCGAGCCTGCAACCTAGGCATGTGCCCTGACCAAAAATTGAACCTGGAACCTTCAGTCTGCAGGACGAGGCTCTATCCACTGAGCCAAACAGATTAGGGCCATCCTTGTCCTTATTACAGGTGGTACCGCACCTGGTACGTGCAGAAAAACCAAGCATGTAAGTAATTGCATCATTTCTTCTTCCCCATTGAAAGAAATACGTCCATCTCCATCATCCAGGGGATATTCAAAGCACGGTTATATTTCCAGGGACTTGATTGAGGGGGGCTGTGGTCCTGAGGGTACCCTCCCCAGACTCCTCTCAGCTCTGGAACCAGTAGCCACAGGCAGGTGCGGGTTTGCTCCAGCCACCCGCCCGAGGTCAGGATATGGTGCAGGGTGCAGGGACGCACAAGCCCTCCTGTATAATCACTTCCAGCTTGAAATCCAGGTGCTGGGCCTGGGACCCCAGGGTGGGCGGCTCGGCCTCACCCCCTGCCCTTCCAGCTCACCCCAGATGCCAGGGGCAGCGGGTCCTCCGGAGCGAGACCTGCCATGCCCGTTCCTGGTTTAGTCTGATGTCGAAGTTTCCACTTTCAAGGAACGAAGAGCTGCAGAGCCCAGAGGAAGCCCCGACAATAAGGTGAGGAGGTTTTGGTGAACACAGGAGAGGAACCTCGGGCCGCTCTCCATCACAACCGCATGGGCTGCCCTGGGAGACTTGCTTGCTTCCTCATTTCTCAGAGGCGGAGCCTGCGGTTCTGAGAGGGCCACAGACAGCCCACCAGAGCCTGGGAGGGCAACACCTGCCCCGTCTCTCTCCTGGCTCCTGCCCGTAGCCTGTCCTTTGCCACCTGCTCTCTATACCAGCGACCGAGGCATCTGAATCCTGCTAAGAAGTGGAGAAAGAGGCCCCAGCCGATTTGGCTCAGTGGATAGACTGTCAGCCTGCGGCATGAGGGTCCTGGGTTTGATCCCAGTCAGGGCACATGCCCGGGTTGCAGGCTGGATCCCCAACAGGGGGGGGGGGCGTGCAGGAGGCAGCCCATCAGATTCTTTCTCATCCTCGATGTTTCTATTTCTCTCTCCCTCTCCCTTCCTCTCTGAAATCAAGGGAGAGAGAGACAAAGTGGAGAAAGAGGATGGAAATATGGGTTTCCATGAAGCCACAAGCCATGCCCCTAATTACCTGAGCATTTAGCACACAGAATGCACTCATCGCCTGGGCCCCTGGCCAGCCTCTCTCCACCAGCACATGAGGGCGAGGCTGGGTGAGGGCTTGAAGGCTGCTGGGAACGCCCCTTCTAAGCCACAGTGCAGGTTTCCTCTGCACCTGGCCTCCCGCCTTTGATTCGGGCAGCACCTCCTCTGGTCCAGGCTGGTCTCTGTGGATGTTTCTCTAGCTTTTCACAAGCCCCAGCAGCCTGCAACTGTTCGTCCTGAGCCACCCGTGATCACCCAGAGGTCATGTTGTGTCTGGTATGATGTGGTGTGCAGTAAGCTTACTTAGAGCTTTCCGGTAGCACCAGGGAAAGTGTTCTCTCTCTCTCTCTCTCTCTCCCTCTCTCCCCTTCTATCTTTCCCCCTCCCCCTCTCTCCCCTTCTCTCTTTCCTCTCCCTGCTCTAGACTTGCAGTCCCCAAGTCAACTTGAACTTCAACATATATCCAGAAATTAAACCTCACCATCCACCTCACTTCCCTGGTTCAGCCACCATCCCTTCTAGCCTTCTGTGTCCTTCCCATTCTCTGTTTGGCTGCTATGGACACGCTAGTCTATTCTGAAAAGAGCAGCCATGAGAATTGGTTACAAAGAATGTTCAACCATATCTCTGATTTCCTCAATGGCTCCCCGGTTCTTGCATTTGCTGCAAGCTTTCCCTAGGCTGCACACCATGAGGTCTGCACCTCCCTCCAGGGGTCTCCCCTCCCAGGCGCCCCTGGACTGTTATGCCAGAGTCTTGTCTCCATCACACACCAGGCTGCTTCTGCCTCAGAGCTGGGACACTGCTCTCCATCTTTCCGGCTAATCTCCTTGAGGGCAACACACAGTCTGCTCTCACCAGCATCAAGTCTAGGCTCAGAATCACAGTTCATACTCCCAGATGTTGGAATTGTCCTCCATGTCACCTGATCTTTTCCTTGTATGATTCCTCCCCCAACGTATATCACCATCCAACAGGCTGTAATAATTTTTAAATTTATTTTTAATTTATCCTCTTGTCTCCAGAATGACAGCTTCTGGATGACAGAGATTTTTGATGCCAGGTTCATGGTTGCATATCCATTACCTACAACACTGCTGGCACATAGTAGGTGTTCAGTTATACTTTCTAAAGTGTCTGTATATAAATGACTAAATATGATTTCATTCAAATCCATACAAGAATAACACACACACATACACACACATGTTCACTTGGATGACTGTTAACTAAGTTCGAAGTATGATCATCCGTTGGAGATGTAGGGATCGGGGGGAAGGGTATTTCAGCCGAAGGAACTGCACATGCAAAGTCTCAGAGCCACAAAGGCCGTGGCCCAGCCAGATGTGGAGATGACGTGAGATGCAGGGAGATAATAGAATCTAGTGGAGAGTCCAGCAGGAGACAGACCACGCTGAGCCCTCAAGTCCAGCCTGTGGTGGTTGCTCCTCATCTCTTGCCATGGAGAGGAAGTGTCATTGTTCACACTCTGCAGGTAGTGGGCCATATGTCTCTGGATACACAATCTGGAGACAGGTAGCTGGTGGGTTCAGGGACCCAGGGAAGAGATGAGGCCACAGGAACAATCCCAGCATGATGAGCAGGAGACAGCCATCAATATAGGCTGTGATTGGGAAGAAGGATGGACAAGTCTTAGTGGGTTGAGGAGAACAGGATGGTCTTAGAGAAGAGGGCCACCATGTCATCACTGTGATGGGAAGCCCAGCAGAGAAGTGGGTTTGGGGAGGAAGGTGACAGCTCCATTTCAGCAATGCTGATGGGCAGACTTGTGAAAGGTTTCAGTGGGTGTTGGGTGGTGACACACCTGTATCACTCACCTGAGGGGTTAACCTGAGACTGTGTTTGCATCCTTTGTGCTCCTTTGGGGCCTCGGGGCCTTCCTCCTGTAGTACCTGACTCTGAGGGAAGACACCAGGATCTTTCAGTATGATCGCATCAGGTCCAATGGGCAGCAGACCCAACCCTCTATTCCCTGTTCAAGGCCTGGAGAGGAGACTGAAGTGGGAAAGGGTGTGTCTGGCCTGACAGACCCTCCTGATCACTGTAGGTACCTCCCACCATGGATACCTGGCTTATGGGACACTCAAGAGGTCTGTCTGTATGGAGTCCTCATTCACCACACCTTCGCCTCCTTCCAGCCCTGCCCCTGACCCATCGGGATCCAAGGTCTCAGTTCAGCACTCAGCCTCCTGTCCCCTGCCCTCTTTAGGCCTCCCTTTCCCCCTGAGCTGAGCTCACATGAGGATGATGAGGCAGAGGAGGAGGAACAGGATCTTGACAGTGGCTTCCCCGATGGCCACCAACACCACCTCTGCCCTGGGTCCTGATAATCCTGCAGGAAAGAGGGACGAGGATGGAGTCACCTGCTCGGCCGCAATCCCATGTCCTCCTGCTCCCAGTAGGACCCTGGATGTCGTTCACCAGGCGTTCCTGCATCTCTGGATTCGGGACCACTTGGGCTCTCAGCATAGACCCCGCCCTGATCCCCAGCAATTGGACAGAAATGGAAATGTGTAAGTTGGAATTCATCAAATTGAAACATTCTGTTGACCAATGGACATGATGGGGAAAATGAAAAGCCAACCCACTTAATGGGAGAGAACATTTGCTAGCTATAGATTGGATAAGCATTAATAACCCGCCCATATACCAAACTCTTAAAACTCAGCAACAAAAAGTCAAAGAACCTGATTAAACAACTGGCAGAGATTTGAACTAAAATGTTCTTTAAAGGTGATGTATAAATGAACAATAATTCTCTGATAAAAAAAGGGGCATCATAATTATCACAGAAATGCAAATCAAAGCCACGCTGAAGTAGCCTTTCACACCCACTAGTAGCCTATGATTTTTTTGTTTTTTTTTTTTATAATTTTTATTTCTTGAAGTATTACAAAGAGTATTACATATGTCTCCCTCCCCCCCTTGACATTTCCCCGGCCCCTACCCCCCCCCCCCCCGGTGTCTTGTGTCCATTGGTTAATCTTATATGCATGCATATAAGTCCTTCGGTTGTTCTCTTAATCCCCCCCTCAAACCCTCACCAGGCTTCCCACTGTAGTTTGACAGTCTGTTCAATGTTGCTCTGCCTCTGCATCTACCCCTGTTCATCGGTCTATACTGGTCCCCTTTATCTGTCCCAACCTCACTGGAGCAGTCCCAACCTCACTGGGGCCGTCTCAGCCTCACCGGGGCCGTTTCAACCTCACTGGGGCCGTTTCAACCTCACCGGGGCCATCCCGACCTCACCGGGGACGTTTCAACCTCACCGAGGCTGTCCCAACCTCACCGGGGCCATTTCAATCTTACCGGGGCCATCCCAAACTCACCGGGGCCATTGCAACCTAACCGGGACCGTCCCAACCTCACCAGAGCCGTTTCAGCCTCACCAGGGCCGCTATGATTTTTTTTTAAAGGAAAATACCAATGTTGGCAATTGTGTGGAGAAATTGGAAGCCTTATACTTTGCTGGTGGGAATGTAAACTGATGCTGTCACTGTGGAATACAGTCCAGAATTTTCTCAGAAAGTTATACATAGAAAGTACCATTTGACTCAGCAATTCCACTCCCAGGTACATGACCTAAAAAACAGAAAACATGTCTGAACAAAAAACGTACATCAAGTTCACAGCAGTATTATAACCGCCCAAAACTGGGAACACCCTAATGTTTATCAACTGATCAACAGAAGAACTCAATGTGGTACATCTATACAATGGACTATTTATTCAGAAAACCCCTTAATGCCCTTGTTCTCCATTAGAGAAGATGTGCACACAGCCAGATCCCTTCACACCATGGACAATTCCACAGTCACAGAGATGGCAGTGGGGGGGGGGGGTAACGTCTATCTTTCTGATGGCAAAGAACCTGTTAGGTCCTTCAGGTGAACAACCAATGCTCACAGCAGTGTATGGACCCTGCTCACTTGCAGGGGAAGACTGAGCTTCTGAGGGCAGACTTCAGTGCCTCTAAGGGAAAAGTCTTTTGTTTTTAATAATTGATGTTTAGAGGGAGAGAGGAAAGGAAAGAGAGAAGGAGAGAGAGAGAGAGAGAGAGAGAGAGAGAGAGAGAGAGAGAGAGAGAGAGAAACATTGGTGTGCTGTTCCAATAATTTATGCATTCATTGGTTGACTCTTGTATGTGCCCTGACAGGGGGATCAAATTCACAACCTTGGTGCACTGGGACAGAACTATAACCAACTGAGTTACCTGGCCAAGGCCAACTTCAGTGCTTCCTTCATTATTGGCCATGTGACTATATTGCTTGTTCAAAAATACATAAATTAAACTATTGGAAGAAAATGAAAACGTGAGCCTGGAGGATTCATCAGGAGATGGAGGAAAAAGGCCTTGAGAGGCAGCTCAGCCACGTGCAGGGTGCCTAGTTCTCCTGGTGCAGCTGACAGGGGCTGGGAGAAGTCCTCAGGGAGCAAGGGGCCAATGGGGACAGCTGCTCACAGCGGCCATGGGGCTGAGGAAGAAGTGGGAGCACTGGGTCCACCCACAGGGGGTGTCTGGTCACCGGGTGAGTCCAGGATGAGACAGAGTTTAGCCCTGTCCATATTTGGAAATGGCCCTGCTCCCTACAGCCCATGAGGGGCTCCTTCTTACCTGTGCCGTCTCCTAGGCAACCACCTGTTGTTGGGTTCTCCGGGGCACCTGGGACAGGAAGAGAGGTGTTTGCTCGTCAGTGAGCAGAGATGGGGTGAGGATTTTTTAGGCATTGCACTTCGACCCACAGAGAACACAGAAATGCAAGAGGGACAGTTATTGTGTCCTTGAGGTCCCCTACACAGCCAGGCCTCCAGGACAAACCACCAGCACACCTGCCTGGCCCTCCTGCTCTGCACACCCTCAGGGACCTGCTGTTCCGACCCAGCACTCACAGGTGACACTGAGCTGGATTGTTGTCTCCACGGTCACACCAGCAGCAGGAAAATGCACCTGACAGGTGAGGTTGGTGCCGTGGTCCTGGGACCGTGGGGTGAGGGTGAGCACGGAGGAGAGGCGGGTCCTGGGCCCCAGGGAGCTGTGGGCAGCTGACGTCCAGGAGAAGATGGGGGGCGTGCCCCGCTCACAGGCCCAGGGCACAGAACAGGTCAGGTTCCTGGGGAGGCCGCTCTCCAGGGGCCCCGGGTTGAGGATGTGGGGTGTGTGGCTGAGGGCTGGTGAGGAGAGGGAGACAGGGGATCAGGAGGGAGGGTCCCAGGTGCAGACCTGCGAGAAGCCTAGGTCTTTGGTCCAGCTCCTCCCTCTGAGCCCAATAGGCTGTACCCCAACCCCCTCGCAGAATGGGGTTCCCTCCCAGTCCTGCCCAGGGCTACCGTGAACTTCTCCCAAGGCCTCTCCTGGAGCCCGTTCCTTACCCGTCACACGCACAGAAAGCATGTTCTGTATGTAAGAATATTTATGCCACTGGGAAATTCCTCTCTCCACCCGAAAAAAATATAATCCATCATCGGTCCTCCTGGCGTCTCTGATGTCCAGGGAGCAGTTGTTGGTCTGGGGATCCCCGAGGAGGTGGAATCGGCCCTGGGTCTCCTCCTGCACTTTACGAGCGGGGTTGTTTGTGACCACAGCAGCATCCTGATTTATATTAGCTCCTCCCTGGAACCAGTAGCCATATGCAGGGGAAAGATGATTCCAGTCGCGCCCCGGGTGGGTGAAGGTGCAGGGCACAAACACACACAGTCCCTCCTGCACCATCACGGGTGTCTGCACTGTGAGCGTGAGTCTTTCATCCTGAGCCTGGGACCCTGCAGGAAAAGGAGGGTCAGCTGCAGCCCCCGCCCCACTCCCCCATTTCCCCTCCGACACTCACCTGCCCACAGCAGGGGCAGCAGCCACAGCATCTCTGACATGGAATGTTTCTGGGCTCCTGTGGGTGAAAAAAGAATGAAGACAGTGGGAGCGGGGACCATGGTGAGGCCACGGAAGCTGGGGAGGGGCGTGAGATCTCGGCCTTTAACAAAAGAGGAACCACAGAGTGCAAGCCCTTCCCCTCTCTACACAGAGACCGAGGGCACCCTCCCAGAGAAGGACAGACAGGAAGCTCACCCTGAGTCCTGTCCAATCTCAGGTCTTCCCTGCAGCTTCAGAGCTGAACCAGGACCTCTGAGGACATTTGAGGAAGGGACACGGGAGTCTCCTATGGTCCTCCCATTAGGGGCTTTTCTGAGCTCTGGTGTCTACACCAGGCATGTAAAATATACGGAAGGATCTTAGGTAAAGTGTCAGGGGCAGCCATTATTTCAGGCATTCACTCATTCATTCACTCATTCATTCACTCATTCATTCATTCACCCATTCACTCCCTCATTCATTCATTCTGCACAGAGAGGGAGACACCCCACAGCCCAGAGACTCTCAGGCGCAGGTCCATCCAGCATGTTCTGGACCTGGGTGAGGCCCAACCTGACCCACAAGGGGGCCAGAAGGGGCCTCTGCAGATCTGAGGATTGACAGACCATGGGTGGGTGTCTGAGTCCTGCCCAGGCAGAGGTGCTGTTGGTGCCCTCAGTGTGCACTGGGGAGTGGGCACTTCCTGGCCTGAAAGTCACAGTGTTGCATAAACTTGTGGTTCTGAACCAGGGCCCACCGGGAACATTTGGCAACGTCGGGACACATGTCATGGTCACGGCTAGAGAGGAAGGTGCAATGGGCAGCCAGTAGGTAGAGTCCAGAGATGTTTCTGCACATCCTGTTTTGCACAGGACGGCCTCCCAACAGCAAGCCCAAAGGTCAGCCATGCCAAGGTCAAGACACCAGATCTAGACCCAGAGGCCAGCAGGAAGGGGTGTGGGATGTTTATGTGAGGGTGTGGTATGTCAAATATATGTAAGGATCTTAGTAAAGTATAGAAGGCAGCCATTATTTCAGGCATTCATTCACCCATTCACTCATTTATTCACTCCCTCATTCATTCAACAAACAGAGTGAGCCTGTGCCCTGTGCGGGGGCTGGAGGAGAGAAGACAAGCAGACGCCCTCCATCCATGCCCAGAGATGGTCCCCATAGGGATGGAAAGGAAAGATGACCTCAGGACATGCCTGGGAGGGGCCATGATGGTGAAACAAGGCTGGGGCCATGACTGGAGGCCTCAAGAGCCACAAGAGAGCAGATTGGATGCGGCCTGGACTCTTCAGGGACAAGGAGAAACATTCCCAGCTGTGGGACCGGCTGTGGGCCCAGGGACAGTAAGGAGGTGAAATTGCTGAGGGGTTGGGGGGTTAGGGAGCTTTCTGCTTTCTCCCTTTTCACATGACATCGTCCCCCAGGTCTGGCCTCCTTTCTCACTTCCCTTCCTCCTGCCCTCTCACAATCTGGGACTGCTGGCTCCTAACCACTTGCCTGCCTGCCTGATTTCCCCTAACCACTTCTGCCTGCCAGCCTCATCGCCCCCTAACTGCTTCCCTGCCAGCCTGATTGACACCTAACAGCTCCTCTGCCTGCCAGATTTCCCCCAACTGCCCTCCCCTGTAGGCCTGGTCGCCCCCAACTGCCCTCCCCTGCTGGCCATCCTGTCACTATGGGGGAGCAGCCATCTTATGATGACATGGAGCGGCCAACTTGTGATGCGAAGGCGTGAGGGTCAATTTGCATATTACCTCTTTATTATATAGAATTACATGTGGGGAGAGAAATGGAAGATCACTTTCTCTTCCTTGTGATTTTTTCTTTTTCTTTTTTTTTTTTGTCAGATTTGGCTCTGAGCTTTTTTTTTTTTTTTTTAATTATCTAAAGTTTTACATATGTCTCCTTTTTCTCTGATTTACCCCCTGCCCCCAGCCATTCCCACCCCAGGAAAGCCCCCACCTCCCCAGTGTCAGTGTCCTCACGTCCTTTCCTTATCAGGCCCTCAGTTTTAGAAGGCCACCGTCATGGACTCCTTTAATGTCACTCTTTCTGAAAGAACAATCCCATTGGGGGTTAAGGCTTCAACAGATGAATGTGGGGGGAGGGGGACCAAATTCTGTCTATAGCATCCAGGTTCCTGTGGTCCCCACCTTCCACCCATCCTTGTCTTTATTATTTTACTGTATTTTTATTGATTTCAGAGAGGAAGGGAGAGGGAGAGAGAGAAACATCAATGATGAGAGAGAATCATTGATCGGCTGCCTCCTGCACATCCCCTCCTGGGGATCGAGCCTGCAACCCGGGCATGTGCCCTGACCAGGAATTGAACCTGGGACCTTCAGTCTGCAGGCTGAGGCTCTATCCACTGAGCCAAACAGATTAGGGCCATCCTTGTCCTTATTACAGGCGTGCATAGAAAGCAAGCATGTAAGTAATTGCATCATTCCTTCTTCCCCGTTGAAAGAAATACGTCCATCTCCATCATCCAGGGGATATTCAAAGCACGGTTATATCTCCAGGGACTTGATTGAGGGGGGCTGCGGCCCTGAGGGCACCCTCCCCCAGGGTCCTCCCAGCTCTGGAACCAGTAGCCACAGGCAGGTGTGGGTTTGCTCCAGCCACCCGCCCGAGGGCAGGAGATGGTGCAGGGTGCAGGGACTCACAAGCCGTCCTGTATCATCACTTCCAGCTTGAAATCCAGGTGCTGGGCCTGGGACCCTGGTGTGGGCGGCTCGGCCTCACCCCCTGCCCTTCCAGCTCACCCCAGACGCCAGGGGCAGTGGCCCCGCTGGAGCGGGACCTCTCACATCCATTCCTGGTTTAGTCTGATGTCGAAGTTTCCTCTTTCAAGGAACGAAGAGCTGCAGAGCGCAGAGGAAGCCCGGACAATAAGGTGAGGAGGTTTCGGTGCACACAGGAGAGGAACCTCGGGCCGCTCTCCATCACAACCGCCTGGGCTGCCCTGGGAGACTTGCTTGCTTCCTCATTTCTCAGAGGCGGAGCCTGCGGTTCTGAGAGGGCCACAGACAGGCCACCGGAGCCTGGGAGGGCAACACCTGCCCCGTCTCTCTCCTGGTTCCTGCCCGTAGCCTGTCCTTTGCCACCTGCTCTCTATACCAGCGACCGAGGCATCTGAATCCTGCCAAGAAGTGGAGAAAGAGGCCCCAGCCGGTTTGGCTCAGTGGATAGAGTGTCGGCCTGCTGAATGAAGGGTCCTGGGTTTGATCCCAGTCAGGGCACATGCCCGGGTTGCGGGCTGAATCCCCAATAGGGGCCGCGTGCAGGAGGCAGCCAATCAATGATTCTTTCTCATCATCAATGTTTCTATTTCTCTCTCCCTCTCTGAAATCAAGGGAGAGAGAGAGAAAGTGGAGAAAGAGGATGGAAATATGGGTTTCCATCAAGCCGCAAGCCATGCCCCTAATTACCTGGGCATTTAGCACACAGAATGCACTCATCGCCTTCACCCCTGGCCAGCCTCTCTCCACCAGCACATGAGGGCGAGGCTGGGTGAGGGCTTGAAGGCTGCTGGGGACGCCCCTTCTAAGCCACAGTGCAGGTTTCCTCTGCACTTGGCCTCCCGCCTTGATTGGGGCAGCACCTCCTCTGGTCCAGGCTGGTCTCTGTGGCTGTTTCTCTAGCTTTTCACAAGCCCCAGCAGCCTGCAATTGTTCGTCCTGAGCCACCCGGGGTCATCCAGAGGTCATGTTGTGTCTTGTACGATGTGGTGTGCAGTAAGCTTACTTAGAGCTTTCCGGTAGCACCAGGGAAAGTGTTCTCTCTCTCTCTCTCTCTCTCTCTCTCTCTCTCTCTCTCTCTCTCTCTCTCGTTCTATCTTTCCCCCTCCCCCTCTCTCTCCCTCTCTCCCCTCCTCTCTCTTTTCTCTCTCCCTCCTCTCTCTCCCCAATCCCTCCTCCCCAGAGGTTCCTGACACCCTACTTTGCAACCACCTCCCATCCAATGCCCAGCAAACCAAATTAGAACCTCCTGGGAAACCTCAGCTCAGCCAAGGGAACCTGCAGAGGCAGAAATTCATGTTTCCGCCACCAGGTGGCAGCAGTGGCCCTTCCAGCTCTGGTCCTGTTCAACCAGCCATTGGAATCAGGGGAAAGGTCAGCCGAGACTTCCGTCATCAGCTGGAGTGGGTCCAGCTAATTGCTTGAAGCCAGTTCGTGTGAATATTTAGCATCGATTAATTACTCTTCTGACTACTTTATCCACAAAAGCCCCTTTGAGCTTTAGGACCACCCACTGAGGTCCAGAGTAATGATCCGTTTTCCACTGGAGGAGCGAAAATGAGGTTCGCAGATGTGTCTCTATTTTTTTAAATAGATTTATTGAGGTACAGTTGATAGACAAAAAAAATGGCACCCAGTTAATGCATGCAATGTGATGTGTTTGGACTTATGCATATACCCGTTGAAACCATGACCAAAATCAAGGTAAGAAATACATCTATCACTTCTCAGTGTTTCCCTGTGTCTCGTGTTTTGGGGAGCTTTGTTTGTTTGTCGTAAGAAAATGTAAGCCCTGGCCGGTAGCTCAGTAGGTGAGAGCGTCTTCCTGATACACCAAGGTTGTGGGTTCAATCCCCAGTCAGGACACATACAAGAAGCAACCAGTGAATGTGTGAATAAGGAGAACAACAAATTGATGTTCTCTCTCTCTCTCTCTCTAAAAAAAAACAAACAAAAAAACTTAATAAATAAGCCATCTGGCAGAGATGAGTGGTTGAGCGTCAACCTATTAACCAGGAGGTCGCGGTTTGATTCCCTACCAGGAATCATGCCCAGGTTTCGAGCTCCATCTCCAATGGGGTGCATGCAGGAGGCAACCGATGAATGATTCTCTCTCATCCTTAATATTTCTACCTCTCCCTCCCTGTCCTTTCCTCTCTGAAATCAATAAAAAAATACATTTAAAAAACTTCATAACTAAATAAAAAGAAACTTTAATGTGAGATCTACTTTCTTAACAAAAATTTTAAGTGCACAATGCAGGCACTCGTTTGTACAGCCGGCCTCCAGTACTTATACATC